CCCCCCCCACCTGTAGGCATAGGCCATATTGCAAAGACCTGTTTACACCACTTTCCTGGGATGAACTTGGCCTTTTATAAATTCAAGACCACCAGTCTCAGATGGCAGACTTCTGCATTTGAGTCAACTTCTAGACAAATCTCCCCCAGCCTTGGTGAACCCTGAGAACCTGCTGTGTAACTCCAATCATTTGTGTTCGTTCCCTAGAGGTCACACTCCAGTCTGAGCATGCCTTAGCTCGTGAAAACTTTGGAAACTGTCATCAAAGTGAGAGCCAGATCTTTTTCTTAGCTGTTACACATACCTCAGTGCTGAAGGACTTGGTTTTGTAGCTTGCTACCTCAGCGTTGACTTAGGTGCTCCATTTGCTCATCCTTCTCTAAGAATTGAAGTCTGTAAGAAAGACAGCTGCAGGGCCTCCTCAGAGTGAGTTCAGCCTTGTCTCTGCTGCTCACAAGTGTGGGGCACTTAATGCCTGTGCTTCTGTTAACCAGGCTCCAATCCTACGGGTAGTAGCTTGACCCCCCCCCCCCCACACACACACACACATCCTTTTCCCATGTCTTGTACCCTCCCCAGAACCCTGCGATCTTCTGCCTGGTGTAGTCTTTCTCCAAGGCACTGGGGGTGGGGTCAGTGATCCAACACAGCCTTGAACTTGGCTGTTTCTCTCAGGCATTTCTTAACCAGTTTGTTGGCACTCAGTAGCAATATCTTTGTCCAACAGCCACCAAAATCTCATGGTTCCTACCACTTTGTTCTTGAGCTGATTTCTGTGCTGTGTACACTTGGGCCTATGAGCCCCTTCCCTGAGGCTACCATGTACAACCAGACTAACTTGTCAAAAGTCTCTCAGACACAGTTGTCCCCTGCTCTTAGTACTACTTGGGTTATGGCAGGTAGGACACATGCACACACACAGCAGAAGGGAAATTAAAAGGGAATTAAAGTCACTAATCACATGCTTTTTTTTTATTATTTTTACTTCTTTGAGACGTGTAGTCCTGAAGACCATGCTAACCTTAAAATTCATAGAGATCTACCTGTCTCTGCTTCTGGAGTGCTGGGATTAAAGGTATGCATCACTACTACCTGGCTTCAAGCCACCACCAGCTATCAGATGAATTTGAAATAAGATCCTCGAATACCTGAGTAGGTTCTTCACAAAATTCTTGTCTTTTGTTTGTTTTGGTTTTTTTGTGTGGGGGGGTGGTTTCAAGACAGGGTTTTTCTGTGTAGCCCTGGCTGTCCTGGAACTCACTCTGTAGACCAAGCTAGCCTCGAACTCAGAAATCCACCTGCCTCTGCCTCCCAAATGCTGGGATTAAAGGTGTGCACCACCACCGCCCAGCTCTTCACAAAATTCTTAACTGATAGGTAGCAGAAGAATTGGTGTGGAACAGACTTGGAAGACACCACAGCCACTTAGGAAGGAAAAGGCCACAAGCCAAGAACATAGGCAGCCTTCAGAAAGCCATGCAGCATTCCTGTCCCACAGTGCCCACAATGTAGTCATGGTGACACCTTGACCTAGCCTAGAGGAACGTGAGTTCTGACCAACAGCAGTCAGACAGTAAAACCACAGAAGTCACTGTGCTTGGAATCTGTTAAAGTAACAACCAGGAATGACTGACAGACGGACATGAGGTGTCCTGTTTTTCATTTCCCAAAAGTCTCTTCATATGTCCTTCCCAGTGGAAGTAGATGCCATTTATGGAAGGGGCTTCAGAGATAGGCCTGTCAGTCACACTTTTGCCCAGGTCAGCAGATTGATTCTGGAGCCCTGTGGTGTGTGTACCTAATGTGAGGCTAAGCTGAGGTTACCACAGAAGCACTGGGAATTCTCCAGGTGCTTATGCTGTTCAACCTGGGCAGCCTTGAGGCAGGAGAGTGACTTACAAAGGATTATTTGTAAATTTACCAGGTTTTTGTTTTTTTTTTTTTTCAAAGAATTAGCATCACAATGAAAGTGACATAAAATAATTTTAGTAGAAACAGTTTTGAGAAATAAAGGCCACTTGGGAATATTAGAACAGTACTATAGTGCATTCTGGGTTCTGGCATGTTTGTTCACAGCAGGAGGAGAGGCATTTTTTAGTATCTGTTTTTTGTTTTTTGAGACTGAGACTCATACATCCCAGACTAGCTTCAAACATGTAACTGGGGACCTCGATCAGGTCTTGATCCCCCTGTCTTCTACCTCCTAACTACTGGGATTATAGGTCTGTATCATGGCACTCTGTTTTATTTGGGGTCTTGTGTATGCCAGGCAAACATTCCACTAACTGAACCATATCCATAGCCTCATCTGTTCATTTTGGGTTTGGTTTTTGTTTTAAGAAATTTTACTCAATTCCTTGGGTCAGAGGGTACTGTCATCAGATTGGCCACAAATGTATGTAACCCTAGTCTTAAACTAGTAAACACACAAATATATATATGGCTTTCTGAGGTTAGTCATGTATAGTGTTTCAGTATAAAGACAAATAAAATCCATGCCTAAAGCACAAATAGTTGTTTGAATATGTGTGTTTTGCCTAGCTTCGAGCAACCCTGCCTCAGCCTCCCAAGTAGCTGCAACTTGAAGTGTGTATCACCAGGGCAGTCTAGCCTGAAACACAGCTAAGCCAGAACTTGGATGTATTTTCATAGGCAGTAGTGGGTTCCAGGTTGTGAATCAGCAGTCAGTACTTCTGTCCAGTGACTTCGAATTGCAGCCCAAAACAAGGGCAGTCACAAACTCACTGAGAGGCACTGCCATAGTGCCCAGCAGTGTGTGGATCTGGATGTGCTCTCTAGGAGTCAGAAGTGATCAGCCAGCACAGCTGCTCTTTAGGATAATTTACTTAGTTACAGGGAGAGCACTGTCATCTTCATAACTCGGGTTGACCTAAAACTCATGGCATCCTCTGCCTCTTTGTGAGGCACTGGGATTACAGGTGAACGCATCCATGCCTCACTGGATACAGGACATTTCTACTGCGACTAGGGAGTCTCAGATGTGACCCTGTATTCTAAATTCAAATGTGCTACCTGTAGTTGGAAAAGAGTCAGTGGGCAAGCTGACACTTACTATTCCCCAAGTTGTTTTATAGGACACTGTCCCTAACCTAAGAGTGTGATGTGCAGCTGGTGGCTGCTTTTCAGCAAATGAAAACACCCTTCAGAAAAGAAAGTCCTGCACCCTTAGCTGCTCTCTGGTAGTGGCCACAGATCCCAGGGGCTGAGAACCAGAAGCCTTGCCAACACACACCAAGACACTGCTATCTAAAGAACAAGACTGGGTTTTAATGCTCTGTCAATTCCCCTTCTGCTGTCAAAATAGCCAAGTAGAAGGCAAAAGCTTAAAACCAATCTGTATAAAAGTAAAAATAACAAAACCTAAATTCCAGGAAGGGTTAATGGCAGCCAAGCCGATCTTCCAGGATGTGGCACTGGGGCTCCTGAAGGGCAAGCTCTCAGGTCCTGGTTTGCAGAGGGAGCCTCAGGGCCAGCTCTGACAGATGATTCATGTCGGGTTGCTTGCTTCGCTTCTTGATGTAGTCCAGAGTTTTCACCTAGAAAGAACAGGTCCAGCTTGGATTTGCCTTTGAGGCTCTGACCTGCGGCCAGAGCCTCTTGTGAATTGCCTCTAAGTGAGCTTAACCTGCCTAGCTGAAAACAGGGCATCTCCTCTGGGTATCATTAAATTCAGTCAGGCCTGGACACAGCTCAGTTGGCAGAGTGCTTATATGCACAAAACCCTGGGTTTCATCCCCAGCACCAGAAAAGCTAGGTAAAGGCAGGGGGATCACAAGTTTAAGGATAGCCTGAGCTGCTACTTGAGACTTGTCTCAGGAAAAGATTCAGACTTGGTTGTGGCCAAAAGTGGGTGACATTTTGCATTCTCAGTAAAAACTGATAGGGGGTGTCTAGGAATGTTTTCTAACAGAAGGAAGTCACCCAAAAGAATTTTTGGGTCTGGCACCCATCTCAGAGGTGACGGCCCCTGAAGATACTGCTGATGCTGTGCCAAGGTCAATGTCGCTCTGGCTAGCAGGGACCTAGTGCTTACCATGGTTCTTGTGTCTGCACAGCCGTGTCTCTGTGCCAGGTGCCACAGGTTGACAGACAGTTGGTTCAGCTTGTTGTTACGAAGGTCCCCATGGGCTAGGATGCTATTGAAGAAGGAGAGGCCCAGCAAGCTCTGTCGCTTCAGGGCCTAGAAGAGAGAAGAGAGGATATGACCTTGTCCTGGCACACTGGATGGGCTCAGTGCAGATGTTCTGGGTAGGGTTGTTATGGCAGCTTTGCCATGTGTTTGCTGAGCCCACCCACCACACCTGTAAAATAGTGGTGAGCTCTATACTACAGTGAGTGAGGACAGAGGCACCACAAGCACTGAGCTCTGCTGAGCCCCTGGCCGGCACCCTGGTTAGGAGAGGCCCAGCAGTCTCTGGCTGTCACTCTGGTTAGGAGAGGCCCAGCAGCCCCTGGCTGGCACCCTGGTTAGGAGAGGCCCAGTAGCCCCTGGCCAGTACCCTGGTTGGTTAGGAGAGCACAAGTCAAGCCCAAAGGATTCCTCATGGCTCTCTGCCATGGCTCAAGCTTCTGAATGCTGTAGTTAACGGTTGCTGATCCTAACCAGCACAGCTCCTGAACAGAGGCCCAGGTCCTGCATTTACAAGACACACCAATTGCACAGCAAGGTAGTGCACACCTAACCCCAGCCTCAGGAGGGATAGGCAGGAGGGTCAGGAGTTCCAAGTCATCTTCAACTCCAGAGGAAGTTCGAGGCCAGACTGAGCTATATGAAACCCCATCTCCAAAAGTCAAAGAACAAAGAACCTGCTGACGCTGTAACACAGGCCTTTCTGGAATCCTGCTTTGTTGGATGATCTGTGAAGTACCTCACTAAACAAACTTTTAACCATACATGACCATGAATGGCAGAGAAAATGGGGAAAATAAACAGTACTGCAGTGACTGCTCAGGTGAAAGGGCACAGAGAAAGCCACATCTACAGGTGGCCATCTGCTGTCTCAGGATGCCATGGAACCAGATGTCACAGGATGGTGGCCACTGCCATGCAGAGCTCTGAAGTCCCAGGGCCTTTGCTGTGTAAACTTTGCAGTCCTGGCAAATAGTGCTACCAGGACCATGTGTGCCTGCTCTGCTCCATGGCAGCTAATGGGTACTGATACTAAGATACGCTAGTACCTTTGCTCCACACACTTCACATCCCTGTGGCAGGAACATTCATAGCCTATGCTGGGCAGCCTTCTAGAACTGCTCCAACATTCTGTCCTCTGGCTACTGGTACAGCAACCATGCGGGTGCTGCTGAAAGGGAAGTGCAGGTGAAAATGAGCTGTCTAGTAGGCCCAATCTAGTGGGGGAGCTTTTCAAGGGCAGAATAAAGGTCTGGCCAGAGTCAGAGACAAGCAGGGAAAGATGGTAAAGAAAAGCCAACAAGGACAAGGCCCTCAGCTGGATCCCCAACACCCACATAAAAATGTGTGTGGTGACACACACTTGTAATTCCAGTGGGAGACAGGAGGATCTCTGGGGTTCATGGGTCAGCCAGCTAGCCCAGTGGCATTGATAAGCCTCGGGTCAATGAAGATACACATCTTCAAAGAAATAAGATGGCTGGCTCCTGAAGAATACTACCCAAATCTGACTTCCGGTGTTCATATATATATGCACACACAGGCACCCATGTGGAGGGGAAAGAAAGGCAAGGCAGAAAGTAAGTCAGACAGACTCAAAGCCCAAGAATTTAACCCTCTTGGCTTTCAAGATGGAAGGAGGAGGCCAAGACCCAGGAAAACTTGGTCAACAGCCAACAAGGACATTTCCACAGACCACAATTAGACTGATGTGGGTTCTTCCCTGTGCCCCCCTAGTAAGAATCAAATCAGTAAACACCTTGACTTTGGCCTCATGGAACAGAGACACCAGCCCAGCCAGTACTGACTTCTGACCCTGACACACACCCAACCACAGATGGGTGCTGTCTGAAGCTGCTAGTAAGTGGTGGCCATTGGTTGCCATGGCACTGAAGTGCAAACACATGCACTCTGCAAGCAAGCTTCTCGAGTTCGGAAGTAGGCTCAGAAGAAAGGCCTGAGTTCAGACTGCCCAACTCCAGAACTCACACTCTTGCTGCTGCCTGTTCTCTGCTGAGTGGCACCGCGGTGGGAAGCACTGAGCCACGTGAGGAATGTGGCAGAGGAGCAGGTCTTTCTGTGGGTGACCAGCCCCATGGGAAGCAGAAGTATCCTGGCAGGAAGGGCCACTGGCACCTCCTGGATGTGACTTGCTGACTGGTCAGCTGTGACCTGCTCTGGTCTCATGGGTGTCATCAGGTCAACCCAGGCTGCTTCCCTTTGACACCCATTCCCTTCTGGTGCCTGGGGCAACAGAGCGATTCCTTTCTGCTTCCTTAGAGAATTAAGCTCAGAAAATTCAACTTCAAATATTAGAGTCTCCCCGGAGAGAGATCTTTCAACTACATTTCATTGCAGAGAATGAGGGTTTTAAGCAGTCATACTGCACAGACTCTAACTGGCTCTTCCTCCTCCATCAAAGTCCCCAATAACATTTTATCCTAAAACACTCAATTTGGGTTTCCAATGCCACAGCCCATTATATTGGTTTTTTGTTTTGTTTTGTTTGTTGGTTTTTTGAGACATGGTTTCTCTGTGTAGTCCTGGCTGTCCTGGAACTCACTCTGTAGACCAGGCTGGCCTCAAACTCAGAAATCCACCTGCCTCTGCCTCCCAGGTGCCACCACTGCCCAGCGCCACAGCCCATTATAAACGACATTACTTGAGATGTGTTGGAGATGTGAAGGCACGCTGGCAGACAGTAAAGACAGAAGGGCAACTGTGCTCAAGGGAAGCCAGATAGTGCCTCGCATGCCCTAGGCTCTCTACAGGTTTTTAATAGGGGGTGGGGGAAGAGCTCTTTTCCTGTGAGAACTGTCATTTCCAGGAAGCTCTAGGGACCTGACACAGGTCCCAACCCCCACACCCAAACAATTTTTCCTAGTCCACGATTAAAGCAGAATTCAATCCTTTGTGTGACTTTGACAATTTTGGTACCAGGATGGTTCCCAGAATTAGGGTATGGGACAAACAGGGATACTTATGTACTGGGCTCCCAACTGCAGGAACCAGCCCACCACCTGGGTGACAGCAGGCTGGGCAGCAGCAGGCTGGGCAGCAGCAGGCTGGGCACCCTGGCCCTTATGTTACCCACTGGAGAGCTGAAATGGGGTGTTCTGAAATGGAAGACAGTGGGTTAGGTTCAGTTACACTCACTGTCAGTTCTCTACACAGTCCCTCCCTTGATACTTAATTTTTTATGTTATTTTAGATATTTATTGTATTTACATATGGATATTTTGGCTAGGTGTTTGTATATATATCGGAAGGTGTTTGATCCCCTGAAATGGATGGTTGTAAGCCACCACGTGGGTGCTAGGAACCAAACCTGGGTCCTCTTGAAGAGTGACAAGTGCTCTTAACTGCTAAGCCATCTCTGCAGCCTCTCATGCATGCATGCATTCATTGAGACAAGGTCTCTCTTTGTAGCCCTGGCTATCCCAGAACTCAGTATGTAGACCAGTCTGGCTTTGAACTCATAGAGATCTGCCTGCCTCTGCCTCCCAAGGGCTGGGACACTTGGGAGGCACACAGCACCATACCTGGCTAGCCTCGATTTTTTTTTTTTTTTTAGTCACAGCCTCATGTAGTCTACGCTGAATCCAAACTCTCAGTGCAGGAGAGGACGATCTTTAACTCTTAACCTTCCTGCTCCCACTCCTAAATGATGGGATCACAGGTATCTACACCACACTGTTTTATGCTGTGCTGGGATTAAAACCAGGGCCTTGTGCATGCTAGGCTAGCAACACTGGGATATATCCCCAGACCACTGGTTAAGACAACCAGTAACCATCCTGCCTTAGCCTCCGAATGCTAGATTAATAGGAATGTGCCACTGTGCCCAGCTTTTTTGTTTGTTTCTAATTGATACATAATATTGAGGGGGGAGAGGGAAGGGGGAGAGAGAACCAACCTTGCAGGTTGAGAGCAGACTCATGGGTACCAGAGACTAGAGTGAGCAGAAATCGGGTGTTGAGGAGCACTGTGATACAGAGAACAGCCAAGGCCAAGCGCCTAAAGTACCAGGAACCACACTTCAGTCCCATTTGTTTCCCTCTCACAGTGGACCACTTGGTAACCGCCCCCCGTGTGGCTTCCAGAGATTGTAAAGAGGTGGAGAGGGCGGGTACCCACCTCGTCCTTGGCCAGGGTTTTCAGGTGCTCCAGGATCTGAGCCATCACTGCCTCACACAGCTTGCTGTTCTCAGCCAAGAACTTGGAGTCTCCCCCGTACAGGCTGTCATTGGAGTCAACTGGGTAAACAAACACGAGCAGCATGTCACATGGGACTGGCAGATGGCAGTAAGGCCTGCAGGGTTTTATGGGCCAAGATGACCCACTCGCTTTGGGATTCACTAAGATAGCTATCATCTGGCCCGAAGCCAGCAGTGTGGAAGTCATCCCCACCCCACACCCCCCACCCCCCACTGGCCATGCCTGAAAGGAACAGTAATAATCATAGTGACCCTCTCAGTAGCTACCAGGTACTGTGACAAACACTCTCTCTGTGTTATAGGAGGGTCCACAAAACCAGCACTAGGAAGGGATGGCATAGACATCTTCAATGAGTAGGGAAACTGAGGCTCAGAAGCTAGCCTAGCTAAGATGTTAAGCTGGGTAGTCTGATTCCAAAGCCCAAGCACTTACCACTGCACCCAGCTGCCTGCCCTGGGATCCTTAAAACCAACTGGCTAGCTTTATAGTTCCTAGAAGGTTCTATTTATACTTCCAGAGAGGACAAGTATTCAACAATCCTACCCAGATGTGAACCCTGACAGCTACAATAATGACTGACATGCCCAACAGAGCCAACAGTGGCAAGAGTGCTATAGGAACAGTCAACCACTTTCTGACTCATGCCTACCATCATGGTCCACGGTCCAACTACTCCCAAAGCTTCTACACCTGACAGTGTCTCCTTCCTCTCTCTGTCTTTCAAGCTAGCTTAGAAATCACTCTGTAACTCAGGCTGGCCTTTAACTCACGGCAACCCTCCTGCCTCAAAGTGCTAGAACTACAAGTGTGAGCCACCACGCCTAGCTCTTTAACAGAGCCTCTGTTTGGCCACCTCCTGTGACAACCACAGCCTAGAGAAAGACCAGTTCAGCTAAGGGTGGCTCAAGTACAGCTTCCTCTTCTTTCCCTCTTTCAAAGAACATGGTCTCTGCAGGACAGGGTGGACACCGTGCAGTCTACAGTGGTCATTTGGGTTTTCACCTCAGCAATAAATCTCAGACAATCTGCTTATCAGAGGACAGCTCTGCAACTTTGTCTATGATGACTAGGGTCATCCCCTGCATGGGGCCCAGAGCAGTTCTGCCAGTCTCCACTGTGAACACTTCAGTTGTATGTTTTTGTTTGTGCAGGACTAGGGGTAGAATGTGCCTGTCAGGTGGAGCTCTAACATTACACTCTCATCTCCACATGCATTTGGAGGCCAGAGATAAATCCCGAGTGTCATTTCTCAGGAGCTGCCCAGCTTGCTTGCTTATTTATTTATTTATTTATTTATTTACAATAAGGTCTCTCAGTGGCACAGAAACCACTCGTTAGCCGAGGCTGGCTGCCCAGTAAGCCTCAGGGATCACCTGTCTCGGCATTTGAGAGGTCTGCATGCTTGAGTGGCATGTGCTTCACCAACTGAGCCACCTCCCCTATCCTTCCTCTTGGCTAGCTAGCACCGGCCTGCACAAACAACAGAACACAGCTTCTGCCTCTCAGAGCTTGTGTTTCCTCCATGCTCACATGGCTACTCCTGTTTTCTCAGCCAATCCTTTAACTTCTTCCACTCCAATGCCCAAAATGCATGTCCCCATGGCTGGGTACAGTGTTGTTAGGCCAAGTGTCTAGGTGACAGAAGAAGAGATCAATGCCAGTAAGAGGTAAATGTGTGCCATCTGATAAGTCTAGTGGCCATGCCCAGGTCTGAGGGTGGGGCACAGAGCAGTAATCCAGTCATTTAGGGAGGAAGTTAATAGGCTCTCAGTTTATCTGCTGGGATGCAGCTGTGATTTCCTGGTACCCTTATGTTACTACTCTCTAAGGAACACCTGAGGAGGATCTCATCTCACCCACAGTTCAGAGGAGACAATATCTGTGAGAAACACAGAAGGGCCTTCAATTTGATACTGTTGTACAAATGAAGAACAAAAAACAAAAGGGTCCACTTGCAGATGTGGAGGGGGTAGGAGTGGGTGGGAGTGGGTGGAGGGAGAACGTCCTATTTTGGGGTATGTCACAATCTCTCAGACATTGCACAGAAACAGTCCCTGGATGTGGGCTACAGAAATGGGAAGATGTTCAAGAGACACATTCCAAGACCAAGGAAAGCCAGGCCTTGGAACTTTAAGAAACTACTCTTTGGAACCTGGCATAGTAGTGCACACCTTTAAGGAGGCAGAGGCAGAACCCTGTGAATTCCAGGCCAACCCAGTCTACATAGTAAGTTCCTGTCTAAAAAGAAAAAAGAGTCCCCTTTAGGAGCTGAGACAATGACTCAGTGCCAGACACACAAGAATAAAACCCACATTTGGATCTCTATGTGAGAAAGCCAGGTGTGGTTGTCCATGTCTGTAACTGTAGTAAAGGACAAAGAGGACAGAAATAGGTGGACACCAGAGTTCACTGGCCAGCCAGTCAAGCCAATGGCGAGCTCTAGCTTCAGTTAGAGACTCTGTCTCAAAAACAACTGGAAAGTATAAAGACACTTGACATCAATCTCTGTCCTCCACACATATATGCACATACCCAGACAGACAAACGGACAGACACACACACACACACACACACACACACACACAGACACACACACACACACAAGTGCTGGGCAGACGGTGCACGGCCCAGAACTTGCCTAGCACATATAAGGTCCTGAGTTCTATTTCCATCACCACAAAACACTGATCCTACAAATCTTCAGGCCTCTTCCTGGGGACTCTAAATTGAGGATAGAAAGTGGTGCAGGAATACAGACTCCTGGACTAAGAGATCGATCAAGCTGATAGAGGAGGCCTTGCCTAACGCTTGAAGCCCCAGCACTGCATTAACTGGGCATGGTGATGCATGCCTATAACTCCATCACTCTGGGTATAGATGGGGGTATCAAGAGTCCAAGGTCTAGGGACATAGAGGCAGCCAAAGCTACAGAGTGAGAACAAACAAACAAAATGGGGTCAAAGTCATCTTCAGCTATAAAGTGAGTTTGAGACCAGAATACAAGAGACCCTGGCTAGAGATACAGCTCAGTGGGTAATGTGCTTGCTGGACAAACATGAAGACCTGAGCCTATAACCCTACACATAGTAGGTGTACTTGTCACAATGCACCCCAGGGTTGTGGTGGGCTTGCACAGACTAGCAAATCTTTGGAGGTCATTAGCCAGCCAGGTTAGCTAGATTGATGGGTGAGCTCCAGATTCATTCAGAAGCCCTGTCTTCAAAATCAGGTGAAGAGTGATTAAGGAAGACTCTCAGGGCCAAGCTCGGCCTCTATGTGCACACACACAGATATGTCCATGCAACTCATGTGCACACAAACACAAGAAGAGACGGTGAGACAGCCCTTTGCTGCCCGTGAAATGGGGGGTTAGCGGGGGAGGCAATGCTGAGGGCTGGTCAGGACACTGCTACCTTTGTCTATGTGGTAAAGGTAGGTGTCCTGGCTCATGGCAGACAGCAGGTGCAGGACAGAGGTGTAGATTCGGATTTTGTCATCGCTACTGTCATCCCAGGTGTAGTCCTGGATCACGTTGAGAAGTTCTCGAACCAGAAATAGGACTCCATGTTCTGGATGATCCTGGTGGAGAAAGAAAAAAAAAATGACAGATAAGCCCAACAGATCAGCTAAAACACCCACTAAGCTGGCACTTCCCTTAAGCAGGCGCTGAAATTACAATGCCCGTTGCTTCATAAGGGCAGGGTCACTCATGAGCCTAGGCAAACAACACAGAGAGAACATGACAAGATGCAGCTTACTCACTGATCACACATTTGAGGTTGGGGGCATGAACAACAGCCTCACTTTTGGGTCCAAGAAACAACAGGCAACTACCTGTCAGCCCAATGGCCGGTGCTTCCATGACCTCTCCTTTATTTCCCATGCGCAGTGGTAGAAATAAGTCACATGTGTCTAATCACAAAAAGATACTGTGGGTCCTCAGAAGATGACATACTAGAAGCCACTGCACTAACTTTAAGTAGAGTCCCACTCCCAAGAATGCTCACCTACAGCAAGGGTTATCTAGGCTCCTTCTATGAGAGGGAAAACCCAAGGGACCACTCAAAGTTAGAGCAATGTGTGTTTCTCAGACACTACACAGAATCTTTCCAAAAAGGGATGCCATGTAAAAAGGCAAGCAGCTTTGGTACCATTCCCAAGGTGTGGCTCTCCTGCTGAAACTACCTAGAGTCCTTACTTGAGGGAAATAAATGCCCAGCACTCCTCCTAGCCCGGGCACAGCACTGGGTCCTGGCAGCAAACTCTCAAACAGGTTAAGAAAAGAAGGAGAAGGGGAGGATTATTTGCACAGCTGGGGCCAGCATGAGGCCAGGCAACAGGGCCTGGTACCAGTAGGATGCCATTATTATCCCAGGCTGAAAGAGTAAGGTGCAGGCAGGGTACTGCTGAGAGCTGAAGACCTGTAGCTGGAGGCTGCCTGCCACAAGATGCAGCTTTGCATGGAGGGGTGTGGCCATTGGCAAAGCATGGCTGGGGATCAATCCTGAGGTGACAGGTACTGAGCATGGGTGTCTTCACGCACTCTGGTTTGTGGGCTGTGTCTCCCATTGGCTGAATGGGCTGGAGTCAGAAAAGTCTCCCGAAGCCACTTTCCCAGCACTGACGGCTAGGAAGCCAGTCTCCCTTAAAATTACATTTATTTACGTGTGTGTGTGTGTGTGTGTGTGTGTGTGTGTGTGTGTGTGTGTGTACACTGTCAGGACAACTTTAGGGAGTTGGCTCTTACTACAAGGTGGGTACAGAGGATTGAATTCTAGTACTCAGGCTTGGTGGCAGGTGTCATTACCTGCTGAGCCATCTCACTGGCTCAGGAAGCCCTTTTTGTATTTCTTGTATCAGCAAGAAGATACATGATTCTCAGACACCCAAACAATGTGAGCTGTGTATATCTGAACCACCCAGACAAGGCTGCCTGCTAGTCGGACCCAGCTGTAGCTCATCGCTGCCTTCCTCTGCTTGCAGCTGTTTCTAACTAGGCTATTTGGTGCGGCTATGTGGGTACTAAAATACATTTTTTTAATTTAAGAACCAGCCTTGGGAATAGATCACAGTCTGAATATTTTAGCAACTTCATGTCAGCACTCATGTTCCCACCCTGTGGGAGAACAATGAACACACTTTCAGAGAGGTGGGGCCATGGGCAACGGAATTCGGGGAATGGTTTGGGGTGAGCACTTCTGCAGGCTTCAGCTCATAGCCAAAATGGTGACAGATTATGTCCATGATGCTGCACCAAAGAGGGCAACAGTGCATTCGAGTCCTGGCAGGGTCACTTACTGGCTGATGACCTTTCACTTCTCTGTGGGTCACTGTCCACTTCAGTTCAATGTTTTGAGTGAACATTAATGAACTGCTGACTGGTTCTTCAGAAGAAGGATATAAGGTTAAGTGAATGTAAGCAAGGGCCGGGTGGGTGCAAAGGAGCCAGAACACCAATGGGCTGGGAGCACAGCAGGAGAGAAGGGCCCCTGGGGTGGGAAGGTGAGACCGGAGAGATAGCTCCAGCAGATAGGAGGAGGCTGTCAGAGCAGGTGCCTGTGTCTCCACACTTCCCAGGGCAGGTTTGCTGGCCTCATGAATCCCAGTGGCTCTGGCATGCACTGCACCCTATCCTCCCTTTAGGCGTTCATTTTCACAGTGTTCCCTGCCTTGGAGCACCTCCCACGAAGAGTTCATTTTCCTTCTAGTCTCAGCTGAAAGCGACCTTCTTGGGCATGGCTTCTCTGATCACCTGGAAGGTCATCTGGCCTTTGATCTTCAGGTAGAACCTCCCACCATCCTCACAAAACCAATCAGCAGTGATCTGGAGTCCTCCTTGGTGACTCCTCTGTGTGTGTGTGTGTGTGTGTGTGTGTGTGTGCCAACAACTCCTAAAACCACAAAAGAACCCAACCCCCAAGAGTGAGGTACTAAGATGTCCCTGTAGTGCCTGGCACTTCTTACAGATGGATTTAATTGTGTTTGATATTAAGCCTGACTTCCTCTTGGGGAGCACTTCCTCTATTCCCAGATTAGGAGATGGTCATGGACTAGGATGAGGGAAAGGAATGGGTGAAGGAGAATGTGGACATCTTGCTGTCACTGTAGTGTCTTTTAATGAGGACAAGAAATCGTACCTCCCCACTGCAGTCTCAGTGATCAGAGAGCAGGTCCTAACATTCCTAGTTCCTACAAATCCCAACACAAACTTAGGGCTCTGAAGCCAAGATGCTGAACTTGCTGTGCCAATTCTACTCTATTCATCCTGCTAAAGGATGCTAATGAGATATCTGTTCCACTGTACAAAGAAGGTGTCTACAGACAGCAGTGAAGCATAGGGAATAACTTAGCAACCTTGAACTCCACTTGGTGGGAACTGTACACACCCCTTCTAACAACACACTTAGCAACCCTGCTGACAACCTAGAACAGCCCCCCACCAACCTGTGTGTACATACCACTCCAAACAATGAAATAAATCAATCTCTTCTCCCCTGAAAACCATCAAAAACTCCCCTTTTGTGAATACTTTCTATCCAGGTATGAAAGGTAGAGAACCATCAAGTCCAAACTTGCTTAGTTGCATGCAAAGTAAAACAAACTGTTCCCTATGTGAACTTTTAGGGAAAATATCCTATTTACTCCCTTTTGACCATACATATCAAATATGCATATGATTAAAATATGATGGATTCTGGGAAGGGACATGCACATGAGCAAAAACGTACATAATTCAAGCCTGTCAATCAAAACTGAGAGCCACCTACTCTATATCCCTGAACAACTGAACTCCTCTCTTGAGCCCCATATATAATACTGGGGCCTCCATATGCCCTCAGTCAATTGGCTTGCTGTAGGTACTACATGAACTACCAGTACAGTCTGGGTAGCCATCCAGGTTCTGGAAGAGATACTAGCATACTTGTGTCTATGGCAACACTACTAAGGTGGGGGAACCACCTACTGTTTCTGCATAGAAAAAGGAAGTCTATGCACACAGCGGGAGGTAGGGAACCTTCAACAGTAAAGTCTGTAGGACGTGACAAAGTGAATGAAGCTTGAGAACTTAGGCTAAGGGAAACAGACTAGTCACAAGTATAAGCACTGCCTGAGTTTATTTAGAGAAATCTAAAACTGTCTAATTAGTGGTGAATGGCTGTTACAAAGGGTGGGAAGAAGAATGGGGAGTTAGGGACCAACAAGTCTAAATTTCCAATTCTAATTAAGCAAAGGAAACACACCCAAGATCTACTGGGCACCATTTTCCATAAGGTCAGTGAGTATACAGCCCTTCTAAAAGCTTACTTAAGAGTAGAGAGCTCTTGTTTCAGGTTGCTACCATAGTAAACTCCAACTCTCAAACAGTAACCCCCTCCCAACACGCAGAAAAACACACGAAAAGCTGTCACAGGAGAGGAAACCAGTCTGAACAAGGTAAACATGGGAGGGGCAGCTTTTTCATGCAAAATCATGATCCTGGCTCATCTGATCACCTCTTGGCCTTGGCTTCTCACATGGAACCTCCCTCTTAACCCTTGGAGGCTAGACTCCAACCACTCCAGAAACCACACTAGTATCTAACCCTACTGACACTATTTTTTCTTACACTTACATACATGATAAAGTTTAACTTACAAATCAGACACAGTAAGTTTCTTAGTTCCTTTCCTGCTGTTGTGACAAAGAATGCCCGGACAAAAATGACTTAAGGGAGAACTGTGTTTATTTGGCTACAAGTCCACACTGGGGGGAAGTCAAAGCAGCAGAAACTTGAAGCAGGTAGTCACATCACATCCACAGTCAAGAGCAGAGACCAGTGAATTAACGCACACTAGTGCTCTGCTCAGCTCCTCTGCTCTTCTAAGTCCAGGATTCCCTGCTGGTGCCCCCCACAATGGCTGTTTCTGCACCTCCATTAAGGTAATTGAGATAATTCCCCAAAATGAGTCCACAGGCCAACTTGACCTTCCCAGGTGATTCTAGACTATGTCAAGTTGACAAGACTACACTAATTAACAATAACTAATAGTAACTTAGAATAAATTTAACAGCATCTGTAACAAAAGCTAAGACATTTCTCTTTTCACAAGAAAGGACCCACCGTAACTTCTAATGTTTTGAAATCCTATTTTTAATGATGGTTCTTAAACACTTTAACCTCCCTTGTAGCCCACCACCTACCAGAGGTAGTGGGAAAGAAAGGATATGGGGAAGTGGACCTGTTTAGAAAGGCTCTTTGGAGCAACTCCTGTCTGTGTTGTCTGGAAATCGGCAGTTCCGTTCACAGGTCAACAGGCATCCATTCGCAAACACTTCCCCGATACACCAGCAATCCAATTTGATAGAGTCGGGTTAGCAACAGAGGTGACATGATCTAGCGGAGACAGCCAGGTCTCAGCCTCGGATGGAGTCAGCAAGAGTGACCAGTAGAAGTTCTCAGCTGTGCCTCTCTCAGGGAAGTGAAGATCAGTGAAGACTCAAGACCCATAAGCATTGCCCAGCTAGCTGTACCAGCAAGCCAAGCTCTCTCTCCATCACTCCATGGAGTCCTAGTTATACCCTCCAAACATCACATGTCCTCCATGTGTCTTGCCTCAGCACATGCACCCAATCAGCCCGAGTTCACGGAAGTGGCAAGAAACTGTAGTACAGCACCAGATGTTTTGGGGTTTTGGTTTGGTTTGGTTTGGTTTTTGGTGCGTTTCTCTCTATGGAGTCTGGACAAATGCAGCTAAACTAGGCAAAGTAAGCCAGACCAAAACATGCGTGTTGTTGGCAAAGAATCCTTCATCACATGTCCTTTCATGTGCTTGCTTTAGCAGAACTTCCTTTCTCCTGTGTCTGCTTCAGTGAAACATTCCTTCACAAGTCTGCCTTAGCCTTTCACACTTGCCTGTGTCCACTTTAACAAAATGTTCCTTCACGTGTTTGCACCAGCAAAATACCATCTGACTGACTTTCCAAAGAACCCTCAAGTTTCCACTTCAACCCACTCAGGGCTTCTCTTTGGCAGATAATATATAGAATGTAGACTAGCAGATGCCCAAACAGTAGCACCACTATTCCTGTGCTTTGGCACTGAGGTAAAGCAGTGTACACTCACTGACAGACAGGTGATCATAGCACACACAGGGTGGAGCCACTGCACAAAGATTCACGTCCCAGATGGGGTGATATGTCATCACACTATGCAGAATGGCACATAGTTGAAAACATATACACTTCTAGAACTTTCTATTTAATATATTAGACAGAGGTTAGATGCTGGCCATTGAAAACAGAATGTAAACTAACAGGTCAGAGGTGCTTTTGTCCTAGCGCTTCCTCTCCTGAAGAAGATGAAGAGCTGCTAACCCCTGACAGTCTTGAATGAACAGAGTATGGCTGACACTCTGGGCTCACATCACGTGTGAAGGACCAACAACCTGCACAGCCCCAGGCCCAGTCTTTTCAGTTTCAGGTGTGTCTATAAGCGAAACAGATTCATTAATTCCTACCCTACAGGGTTCAGGGAGGGTTCTCAGAGGCTATGTAAGGTACCCATTAAGGGCTTTGGCACAGCACCAAATAAATGCATGTTCCTGGGGCCAAAATTGGGAGATTGCTCAGTAGGTAGAGTGTTTGTTACACAAGCATGAGACCCTGAGTTACATAACCAGCACCCACAGAAAGGCCAGGAGCAATGGGTACCACCACTACCTGAACAGTGCTGGGGATGAGAGACAGACAGATCCCTGGGCTCGCTGGCCAACCATTCTATCCTAACTGATGAACTCCAGGCTCATTTAAAGACCTTGTCTCGAGAACTGAAACAAGGAAGAAAACCAAGGAAGATACTGATGTTGACCTCTGACCTCCACACGCACCCTCAGGCCTCAGATTGCAGTTGCTCTTCATTGCCTGGATCCCACCAAAGTGCAGTCTTTGACACCAGGAAAAGCAACAAAGTCCTACTCACAGCAGAAGGTGCTTTCTCAATGCCTATGTACCAGGTTGGCATCTGGAATGAGTTTTTAAATGTATCTTCCAATGCCCAGGGGAGCTGGGGAGGAGGATGCACACTCTGTGTGCTTGGAGCAGCTGCTCCCAGCTCTAGCCACCTGAACAGATTATAGAATACCAATGTGAATGGCAGGAGCTGATTCCTCAAGGGAAGCCACAAACCTGTGTTTGCTTTAACATTTTTTTTGTGGAAAACTCACTCCAAGTGCTTTCCATCGACTTGAGAGGAAGCAAGTGTGGCAGTGGGCTGGATTCTGCCCTCTGGTCACCAGCATGTAACCCCAGGGAGGGAGGCTCTGGCTTACACCATGCTTGCTTGCTTGCTTTCTTTCTTTCTTTCTTTCTTTCTTTCTTTCTTTCTTTCTTTCTTTCTTTCTTTCTTTCTT